TTGTGTGTGTGTGTGTGTGTGTGTGTGTGTGTGTGTGTGTGTGTGTGTGTGTGTGTGTGTGTGTGTTTCTGTGTTCACAAAAAAGGACTGGCAAGGTCTGTAGCCACAACAAAGCCACAGAAGTCAGTATTTATAAAGAAGCATCCTAGGAGGGAACTTTACCTAGTTTTTCTGACAATACCACAAAAAAAGAGAAAGCAAAATGGAGAGGACTAAACTACACCCAACTTAGTGCAGAATGAAGGAGCGGAGTGTGTGTATGTGTGTGTATGCATGTGTTTTGTCTCCGGAGGAGGGGGTAGGCTGTAATTACGTTAAAGCAACAGATGTCTCCACATGAAGACGACCATACAGCACTGTGCACAACATGCCACAAATACACACACAGCCACATCACATCTAAAATAAAAAGTACAATTTTCATCTCTCTGCACTACTGAGGCCTGGCTACTTAGTGAACAGAAAGAGGCTGGTCTGAGTTGGAAGAGGACACAGACACTCAGTGGGGCTCAGTGGTATAGTCATTTTCAGGTTCAGATTTTAGGTCAGTCCACTAATCACGCTCCCAAAGATCATTGGGATCATTAAACATCAGGGCGCTCAGCTTGTTACCAGGTTGCAACCAGTTTTATATCAGTCAAAATTATGACTCAGAATCTGTCCTTGCTAACTGGTCATGATCAAGATAAGGTGCAGTATTCTGCTGTAGCCAGATGGGACATAAAACATCAGAAAGGAAGGATTTCTAATGATTTAACAGCTATGCCTAATCAAATTCTGTTGGTATATAAAAAAGTAAAAAGCAAAGATTCAGTATTGACTAACTAATCTGCAACATCCATATTTTTTCTTCCTTCACCAGTATTGAATATAGATTGATGTTAACTGTGATACATGATTGGAAACCCCTTAATTCCCCATTTAATGCCACAGGAACCCTTCAAAGTTGGAAGAAATATCTGACTTGTCGCTTTTGCCCCGCCTCGTCAAGAGAGTGTCCACACTAGTTCCCCACGAGCTGATGCCAGCCCTGCTCTTCAGTCTGTTAACGTGAGCTTGACTGACAGGCCTCGCAATCTGTTAATCCTCAAAGCACTTTACAGCAAAGCTTTTAAACAGACGAGCAAGGTTAGCTAATTGATTGTGGTCTGTTAAAACAGCAGTTGATTATTACTGTTATTAATAGAACCCATGATGTAGAAAGATGTCAGCACAGTGTGCGTGTTACCTCAGCATATGTAGGTGGCCAGAAGAAATCCTCTCTCATACTGAAGCAATAATGCACTTTCATGTTATAATTCAATTTTAACTCATTTTTCTTTGATGGTCTGTTGTGTTGATTAGCACATGCTGCTGATGTGGGTGTGTGAGTTGCTGCGTGTGTGTTAGTGTGTCTTTGTGTGCCGCTCATTTGTGAGGTCAAGTGAAGAAGAAAATGAGACTTAAGATGGGGGCAGGCTTGCTGCCACGAAAACTGGCCCCGGCATCTCATAAAGACCTTTGAGCCATAGACATAAATGCATGAGGGTGTGTGCACACACCTGACACACACACACTGCATGCTCCAGTGTCCTTGCTATTACACTGTGGTGACAGGGGTTCATGCCATTATGTCATTACTCAGCAATAAATTATGTGTTGAGTTAATTACCATGGTAATGGTATAACAACTAGGGTGTGTGTCTGCTGTACTATATGTGCGTCTGTGTGCATAAAGGTGAGTTCAGGTGGACAAATGAGCACCCCTTCCTTTACAGTAGCTGCATTAAATGAAGGATAAGAAACATGATGGTAGGTAGATGACTGATAACTAACAGCAGCCTTGAAGTCCACAAAGAGAAAATATGAAAACACTTTACTTTGGCTTCTCTTGCCCTTTACTGCTCAATCATACTGTTTATCATACTGTCTTGCAAATCAAAGATCAAAAGTAAATCTAAGCATAAATAAAACAAAACCTCTTAATGTACTCTCAAATTTTATGTCAAGCACTGTGTTCTCTGTATATGCTCAACTTTCTGCAATAACCTGATGCACTGAACAGCATATAAGAAAAGAATTGAGAGGTTTTGCCCATGGACACATGAAACCTTATGTGTAGGCTACACATGTTCATGACAAAGACTTAAGTAGTGCAGCAAGATGATGACAAATTTGAATTTAATTGAAATGGACACAGAGTAGTCTCTAGAAGTCTCAATATGCCAGTTAACCCACTTTTTTCAGTCACAAGTAAACATGCTGACATCCTAAGGTGAGTTGTAATATTTATCTTGAGTACATGGTTTTACAAGAAAAGTAAACATAAATAAGACATATCTTTAAATTTTATATTGATTTATCACAGCCGAGCCAATATCACAGAGTCAAATATCAGCATCTGTGCTGAACATAGGTTAAACAGCTGACTCACAAACTGTGTGTTTTCCTGAAAACAAATATGCGGAAGTGTCCAAATCTGTTCAGTAATACCCATCATATATTTGCGCAGTGTACCTCCATTCCCACCGTCACGTTGTTTCAGTGAATGTGTTCACAGTCCTGCTCTTAAGTAGGCGTTAACACAACATCAGCTCTGTCCTGAGTAAATGAACAACAAACACCCCTGATGTCTGTGTGAACGTTTCTGATATCAATGAATACCTTGGTTCCTTCTGAACTTATTCATATTTTAATTGTATATTTTGCTGTAATGGATAAGGGGTCAAACAAATGAACAATAAATAGCTTTAAGTTAGCACATGTGAATTAATTTTTGTTATAGTATAATATGCACTGATATGTGTGTATATGTGTGCGAAGATGTTGGTGAGTTTACATATTCAAGCCTGCACTGGATATGTGTGCTTTTGTGTATAGGTTCAAAGATGTTATACATCCATCTTCCAAAGCTGACCTTGCGTACGTAGCTGACAGCGTCCTCTTCGGTGTAGACTTCGGCGCTGACCCCTCCCCTGCGGCGCCGGGCCTTGACAACCGGGTTGGGTGGTGGGGGAGAAACCTCATCATCATGTGAGTCTGACTGGCTGTTAGATTTCTGGCGTGCCATGATTTGCTTGCATTCTTCCTGTAAAAAATAAATGGATAGACAAGATTGGTGGAGAAACAAGCACAGGGAGAAGCACCGAGAGTGGGAGAGAAAAATATATGTATTCAGTGGTTAAAAAGCAAATCATGAAGATCATCTATAAAAACAGCAACCTTCTTAGATAGGTTCTCTGAAGGTGTAAAAAAAAAAAAAATCAAATAAAATACATATGTGTAGAAAAACATGCAACTTCTATTGTAGCTTCAGGTAAAACAAACAATCTGATGTTCTTTTTTTACCTTATCATCACAAAAAGAAGGACTGACAACCCTCTCCAAACACCCATTCTAACATAAATGTGGACTTTTAAATTGGTCAGAAAATAAAACACAATACACCTCAGAATAAGCACAGGACACATCCTAGTCCTCACCAAATCTACCTTCTATGCTATGAAGTGAAAGTCATCAAATATTAATATCTGCAGGCTTTAACATGCAGAGAGAAAAGGGCTCAGCCAGGTACTCTCCTCCCTCCTCTCAGATAAAGAACACTAAGGAATAAAGACATCAAAGGGGAGACAGGATGCCTCGGTCTGGCTGCTGTTCCAACTGCTGATCACTGCAGGTGATGAATTATTGATCGCAAACTTAATTAACACATTAGCATAAGTACACACTAAAACCATTACAGGCTCGTTAATGTCCAAGTACTGTGAGACAAGAGCAATGGGATAATAGTTTGTGCAAAGATAGCCAGTGCTGTGCGCATTTCTTCACTGCTTCAGAGCATTTACGTACAATGCAGTGGGGATTCAGTTGACAACAGTATTTTTTTTTTTTTTTTTACCTGCACCTTTTTTTGTGCAGCAGCAACATCATTTTTGCCAATATTTCACAGTATTGAAGATGTTTCTTCTTATTGCTGGTTCACTGCATCATTACTGTGCAGTTAGAAATACAGAAGTATATCCCTCCTAAAACATCTGAGGGTGCACATACTGCATTTCGAGTGCTACTCCGAGTTTGAGCACGCACAGGCACAGATTTGTAAGGGCAGAATCAGATTTGAGAGCATAATCCCAGCCATGCACTCATTCCTGAGTGTGCTCTCTCAGATTTCTCTACTGGGTTTTGTGCCAAAGTCTGTCAGTGCCAAACGTTTTGAAAGCACACAAAACAGGTTTTGAGCACTTTTTAGTTTGCAAATCAGAATTTGAGAGCATGCACGCACAGATTTGAGAGTGAAGGAAGCCAGGATGAGTGCAACAGATGATTTTAGTGAGCAGCAGGGGTATTATAAATCCACTAAAGAAGTGGTTTTGTCAGGAGTTTGGGACAGCCTATTTTATTTTTCTACTGAGTGTAGGAATTTGTAGGATGCAGGTTTTTATATTGATACAAGTATTGGTCAGGTTCCATGTCCTCCAGAAAAGCTTAATACTACAGTATATTCAGTGTGGAGGTGGAATGATGACCTGTTTAAATTCCTAGTTGATCTGCAAAATCTGCAGCTACTTTCATAATTATTAATTGTTAAAGGCATCTTTCAAGCAAAGTGGCAAACATTCTCTGGTTCGATCATTTCAACTGTGAAGATTTCTTGCTTTTCTCCATCTTCTATGATAGTAAACTGAAAATCTTTTTGGACTGTTGATTGAACAAAACAAGCCATTTTTAAGATGTCATCTTGGGATTTAGCAAAGTGTTTTTGTAGACCAAGCGATAGTTGAAAAAAACAATCAGCAAATGTATTGATAATGAAGATGATCATTAATTGAACCCCTAATTCAGTCTATTCATTTAGTTTGGTTGTGCTGAGACAATAATCCCTTTAAACACTTTGAAGCATCTTGTATTCTGTGAGCTTTTAATATTTAATCAATTAGATCATTAACAAGAACAATAATCAATTGAGGAAACTGCTAGTTCACATACATGCACATTAGTACACATGCACAAAAATAAAAAGCAAAAGAGACACATCTTGCATATGGTGCCACCATTCCACTAACACCTCTAAATTTTGGAGGACCTCGTATAATACAAATATCACCAGAGAGAGGGGTGGAGGCAGCAGGTGATCCAGACCTCAGCATGTCTTTGGACATTCTTTCTCAAATATCTGCTTCAATCACCCCATCGCTCCATGAGGGAGGAAGGAAACAGTAACAGCAGGGATATAATGACAGAAAACATCAGTCGAACATCAGTCAAATTGCACTTTCACTCATTCCAGTTGGAGAAATAAGCAAACATACTCCAGAGCACGCACACACATACACAGTCTTCTTGCTTACGCAGAGTCACTGCCTGAGGGAATACAGCCAGCAGGAGGACAAGAGGGGAGGCAGAGACAGAGAGCAGCATCAATGCACACAAACACACAATATCGCCATCTCACAAACACAGAAAGACTAGAAGCTCACACAATTCAGCTTAATCAAGGTGACAAGCTCTACAATCAGATAATATGCCACATCCTCTAAAGATGGTGATGGCAAAGTCTAAAGAAATAAAACAGGTTCCTTTCTTTCAAGCACTGTAAACAGATACATCTGTCTCTCCTCACTCCAAACAAGCATCATTTACAAATTAGCCAACACTGTTAACATGCTATAGTCTAGAACAGTCACTAATGCTCACTCAAGCCAAGTAGTACCAAGCATCTTTACCTTGCAACAAAACTTGTACACTCCTTCCTCTATGCCATTATATAGGTTCACTCCAGGAGGCTAACTATAGGCTAAGTCTGTTAGCAGAGGTATTTACCATGACATGGAGGGCCCCTGGTCAGGCCTGCTGTGTGTCCCTCAGCCTGTCAGTGGTACCAGACATCAAGTCAAAGTGTGAGCATGCCAAAGTGTGCATGGGAATCAACATGCATGGATCCCGACCTCATACACACCTGACACACCGCAGCAGCATCTTGCTATACTAGCCCAGCAACTGCTGTGTGCATATGCAGTGTGTGTGTGTGTGTATATGTGTGTGTGCGCGCACTCAGGTTTGAGTGTGTGTGCAAGAAGGCAGAGAAGCCAAGTTTGTGTGTGTGTGAGTGAGAGATAGAGCGGCAAAATGTCTGCAATCCTCTCGGAACGGCAGCTTAAGAACAAGACCACTGATGAAAACACTGATCACTGCAAAAAGCCTGTCTCTCCATCGCTCCTGCGCAACTCTCCGTCTCTGCTTTCCAGCCTCTCTCTCCCTCTCTCACTTGTGCACACACACTCAAAATCAGGTGGCGCAATGAGCAGGCACCTCTCGCTTCCCCCCGTCACTATGACAACTGAGTACTGTGAGCATCCTGAATAGTTGGTGGTGAGTCTGAGCAGGAAGCAATAGTGGCTCACACACCTACATTCACACACACACACAACAGTTCTGATGCCTGTTGATAGATTCTCTCTCTCACTAACACATTTACAGTGAGTCAGTTGACAGAAGGGAAAACGTCACCACCCTTCAATAGACTTCTGTTCTGACCAAATGGCATTTCTGTGTTTTTTTGCACCAGTGAATGGCTGCAGACATTCCCAAAGAGATACATCATCGTCCCATACATTCACTGTGTGTGCCAGACACTGTTCTGTACTATACAGTGTCTTTCTCACTCCTTAACGTTCTCCCGCTCCAGCCACACGTTTCCTTTTAGGTCAGAGGGTCAGCCAACAAGTGAAGACTGTGTCTGGCTCCAACAAGTCCTCACATTGCTGTGGCCCCAGTGCCACACATGTACAGTCCAACGTTTGATGTCTCAGAAGCACAGTGGTCTCTATAAAGGAGCTCTCATTAGTCCAAGGTGAGCTGAAGACAGATGCAATGTCTTTTCCAGCAGCAAAGACAAACCTTTTCTTCGTTTAGCTTTTTGTGTAACACCTAGGCTAGTCAATCTGAAGCAGTGTAAGCTACTGTATATTTCCAGGGCTATGTACAACGGACAGAAAACATCTGCCGTCCATTTACAAATGTTTTCCTTTTTGTTATCCTACCTCAGGTAGTATGATTTTCATTTCAAATCAAATATTTTCCAAAAGCAATGCACTCCCCTTTTAATATTATGCAATCTATTCTCTTTATTTACCAACACATTTTCTACTCTAGAATCAGTGTTATAACACTATGTCAGTCTCTCCTCTCTCTCCTTGTCTCCTCTGCTCTCCCTGCATCATCACTGGTGGCTGGGTGCCAAAGAAAGAGGACAACAGAGGAAACAGAGGACACGGACGTAAGCAGAACACAGAAGCTCTGTAAAAAGTGGCCTTTCCATTAGAGACAGAATGACTGAGTGTCAGACATTAACCCAAAAAACAAAGACAGACAAAAGATGACACGCATCCAATTCAAAGAGACTCGCTCCATGTAAAGACAGTGTTAATAAATCATTACCAATTGTAATTGTGACTCAATTATAGATTAGTCATAATGATATATGTCCCTCCTGTTCGCTCCCTGGAGCAATTTGCTCCAAGCGGATGCAAACCAAAGTCATGACTCTCATCTGTGACTAATCAGCCTAACCATAATGCTCAACATGAAAGCATTAAACCCATCGAAGAAGATCAGAGGGCTCGCAGCACAAATACATCAAAATACCCATTCTGCCATGAAGTTAATATCTGATATTAGTTAGAGAAAAGGAAATGTTTAGAAGTGGCTACCTCAGTGGTGTAGACAGTTTCACTCTCTATTGCTAGGGCTGTACCCATGTGGGTGACCCAGAAACAACAACGTGCCACTCAAACACATGTGCACACAGGTAATGAAGCAAAGAGAGCTGATCGACCACCACAGCTACCAGTCTACTCATCGCTCTGTTGTAATCGGCATTTCTCACATTTTCTTACATTTTATAGCCTGTACAATTTAAATGATTGGAAAAAAAAATCTGATGATTTTTTTTTTTTAAAGAATCGCTATGCACTCTACTTCAAATAACTAATTCTGTTATTTAAGTACAAGTTAGTGCTTTACCAATGCTGTGTAAGGATATAACATGGTTAAATGCTCAAACAAACATCTGGTGTTGTATCACAAATTAGTGGAGGCGGGTGAGGGTGCAACGGCCAGATAATAGAGGACAAAGAAGGACCACTGAGGAGACAGGGAGTGGGGATTCAATTTACCTGTAAGGGCTCCAGGCTGGGCCAGGGAGAAGGAGATTTAGGGCTGGGTCATTTCTGGCAGCACGATGGGAAGGAGCGTAAACACAGACTGGAAACACTAATTGTGAAATAAGGTCTGTGATCCTGAACGGAGCTGAACTGTCTACTATAGTGCATACACACCACTGGCAAACACATGTAGATCGATCAAAATAATCTCTGGGCAGAAGAAGAGAAAGACAGGGGCAAAGTAAAAGAAAGAAAAGGGAAAGTAGATGATAGGGAAGATAATCCAAAGCTAGACTGAAATCCTCCTCAAAATGCTTTCAGCAGACTCAACAAACAACCAAACCCTGCTGACAAACTGTCAGTCAGAGGTCTTTGAAGGAACTGGCAGGTTTGTTATGACAGGTATGGGTGACAGCTCAGTGGCTTGCAGGACAAAAAGGCTTCTCATCTTACAGGGGATGGGGAGACAGCAGCTGACTGACAGAAACTGACAGACAGAAAGTGAAAAACCTTCCCATAATGCAACCAGATGGGACTGTTCACAACCTGAGAGGCTGCAGCAGGGTTTACATGTGCTTTACTTGACATGCTTTATGTTGTTGAGTGAAGCTGAGAATCAAGAATAATCAGCACAACACTTGCCTACAAAGATGTAGAGGCACAAACAGAGACAAAAACATTAAACCTCTGTATTTTTTCAGATATTTCACCCTAAACTAAACACCTACTGTATCTGTGCTGCAGACTTGGTGAATAATAGTGACACACATAAAATATTTTAAAAGACAGCCCTGTCAGAATGCTACAAAAACTAAACTAAGGTGTCACATACATCTTGCCTTTTACACTACAACATGCCAACATTTAAGGTTCACTTTTCAATAATTACACACTGAGCTGAGCTGACAGAGAACACCCATCTCAAGCTACTGTTGTAGACATTAAAGGCATCATTTCCATGCGTAAACAGGCAGGATGAAAGTGAGCAACATGCCTGTCATTCTCCCATTCACAGCATCAGCTGGTGACTAAAAGACATGTTATTATATTGAACAAAATAACTGGTAAGACGTGATGAATTAGTGTGCTCTCAAGTGTGCGTGTGTAGTGTACGTCTGTGTGTGTCACCAAACAGAGAGAGACAGAAAGAAGGAAAAGGAAGCTTGTAGAGCAAGAGGGACAAAGGGAGAAAACATTACATCAAAGAAAAAGTCTGTGAGTGCAGGTGATAGAAAAACAGAGACAGAGGAAAGAGATTTTGCAGGTAAGACTGCAAGTGATGAGGCTAGGGCCTGGCAAATGGGAAGAACGAATACCCACAGCGAAACAAGTTGAACATATAAGGGTACAAAAGGAACCATGTTTGTGAATAAAGGGGCTCACTGAGGATAAACTAAAGTCTAACAAACCTTGACTGTTACCTAGGTTACTGCCTCTAGTGGGCGACGAGCCCTGACAAAAATGGTTGAGAGAGAAAAAAGAGAAACATACACTAACATGAAGGGTGAAATATACAGTGGGTACGGAAAGTATTCAGACCCCTTAAATTTTTCACTCTTTGTTATATTGCAGCCATGTGCTAAAATCATTTAAGTTCATTTTTTTTCCTCATTAATGTACACACAGCACCCCATATTGACAGAAAAACACAGAATGTTTGACATTTTTGCAGATTTATTAAAAAAGAAAAACTGAAATATCACATGGTCATAAGTATTCAGACCCTTTGCTGTGACACTCGTATATTTAACTTAGGTGCTGTCCATTTCTTCTGATCATCCCAGAGATGGTTCTACACCTTCATTTGAGTCCAGCTGTGTTTGATTATACTGATTGGACGTGATTAGGAAAAGCCACACACCTGTCTATATAAGACCCTACAGCTCACAGTGCATGTCAGAGCAAATGAGAATCATGAAGTCAAAGGAACTGCCTGAAGAGCTCAGAGACAGAATTGTGGCAAAGCACAGATCTGGCCAAGGTTACAAAAAAATTTCTGCTGCACTGAAGGTTCCTAAGAGCACAGTGGCCTCCATAATCCTTAAATGGAAGACGTTTGGGACGACCAGAACCCTTCCTAGAACTGGCCG